CTCAATTAAGATTATGGGGGAAAGGGGAGAAGAAGGTTCAACTTACACTCAGTCTTACTCTTTCAGGTTGCTAAAGGGAGTGAATTATGGTTTCTAGAAATGGTTTTGTTTGCTGTTGGCAGCAGCTTCTCCATGCTGTTATATTTTATTTTCCTATCAGTGGTTTGGTTCTTACATAATTAGGTTGATTGGAGTTGAAGGAGAGCCTGTCTGCATTTTTTAGTAGGATTAGAAAGAGTTCTAGTGAAGAAATGTGATGAGACTGTACTGCCTACCCAAATTTTCAATTAATTTAATTTATTCTTAGTTAAGGGCACTGGATAAAAGTGGTATTTTAAGTGGTCTCTTTCACTCCTTTCTCCTCTTTAGATATGTCTGCATTACAGAAATGTGTTATGAATCAGGTCACATTGTGTTTCTAATTCTGCAGTTAAAAATTTAAGCTAGGTTTTCTTGAACTACCTCACACAAACTTTCTACGTTTCTTAAGTAAGCAAAGCTAACCCTTGCTATTGGAACTACACTGAATGTGAATAGAAAAATACACCTCCTTTAGAAAAACAAACCTATTGGCCAATGTTGAGACAATATCAGTAAGTATGTTTCTTATATATTTCACGTAAGATGTTCATGTGTAATATATAGCTTGTGTACAGTAATGTACATCTAGAATATTGTGTTAGCTGTAAATTGGTGATTTTATTATTGTAGTCTGGTTTTGTAGGGTAAAAATAGCTTACTAGTAATGTCAGCTCATCCTTTACATTTTACAAAAGGAATAATTCTTGGTAAGCTTTGCATACAGATGAATTACTTTTGTAGGCCCAATATCTAGTCTATTTTTGAGAGTTCTTTAACTTTTATTACTAAAGTTGAGAAAAAAAATCCCACCCCAATTATTGTGATCATTCCTTCTGCCCCTTTTGAAGTATATTCTTAATTTTATTATTTCCCAAGAAATATGAAGTAGAAGATACACCATTAAAAATACTGGGGAAAACTGTAATTCTTTTTTCTTCCCCACATTTGATACCTTTTCCTGCTTTTCCTTTTCCTTTATTCCCTCCAAATAAGCTGTTGGTGGGGCATTACTGAGAACATTGTGGGTTTTTTTACTCATTCATGCCATAGGTCATTACATGTGCACCACTGGAATGTATACATTGTTATCTAGTATGTCAATTGGTTATAATGATATTTTAAATAAAAAAGAAAAAAAAAAGTTTGACCACTATGCATTTAGTGTTTCTTCATTGCTAGGCTAGAACAGTTTCATATGGATTGCATAATAAGGCTGCACTTGAAATCTTATTATTGTCAGTACTTCTTGAGAATTCATCTGGTTTTTAATGGTACTTCAAGTCCTGTCTTGTGTGTGAGCTCACTCATGGGCAAAGTGACGTGTTTTTTCCGTTTCTCCATTCCCACTGACTTTGGATGTGCCACAGACTGTTAACAGCCACGTGTCTTTGTGACCACTTGGAATGTGTTCTTGCCTCCTTGCTGCCAGCTCTAGCCACTTTATTTCCTGGAAATACAGCTGCCGAGACCCTCTGCTGCAGAAAGAGGTAAGCCACGGGTTGTCTAGTGTATGGGACTAGAACTGAGTCTCAGAGAAGCCTGAAGGATCTGACTTCTGGAGAGCTGACTTGTGTGCCCAGACCACTCGCTGCCTGTGCAGGCCCCTCTGCTGTGGGTAAATCCTAACATAATGCATTTGGTTGCCTTCACTTCCAGCAAGGTGTGGGTGTTTCCTTGAACAAAGACAGCAGATGCCCTTGAGCTGTGCTGTTGGTGTCCGTGTACAGTTTCGAGGGAGAGGGACTGTGACTCCTGCAGTACAGTGCAGCCAGCTTTGTTTCGCTGGGCCAGCTGTTTGTGAGACATTCTTCTAGGAATGTGGTAGGACTCACAAATGCTCTTCTTTATTTGCACGTCAGCATAAAGTGCAGCCAATTTCAAATGATATGCTAATAACAGAGCAAGGCTGGAGAGACAATCTTAGCTCTGCCCAGGATTTGTGTGTGGGTGACTCAAGACTGAAACACTCCTTAGTGCTGCTGGCTTCAATGGAACTCGCTGGTGAACGTAGATGATTTGATGAGCTACCTCTGTTCATTTTCCTTTTTGTGTCAGAAATTACATGGAGACCTTCAGAAGGGTTTTTTTGTTATTCTGAAGCATTGCTGTTTGGATTTTTTTTAAAGTATATGCTTGTGCTGCGTTTTTTTCACTGAAAAGTTTTTATGCTTTTTTCCCTGCAAAATACTGGGAGGGATGTTTCATAATACTGGAAGATTCCACAGGTGAAGCTATGGTAAAAATGTTTCTACCTGATTCCAGGAACCTTTTGTTATGTTAAATAATATTACCAACCTGTATCTTGTAAACACTTGCTAAGAAAGCTGACATTTAAATCAGGGGCTGTAATGAGCGAAAGGTCTGCAAAATAAGGATGCTTGATATGGGGAAATGAAGTGGTGGGAAAAGAGTAGGGAAACAGCAATTAAAGCTAGGAAAGAGTGTATCATCTTCCTCAAATAAGGGCATAGTGTTCCATGAGGTTGTGTACAACAGCACAGGTGGATTCCCATTTCTTGTATAATTGCCCATGTCTGGAAATGAACATAGTCCTGTTGCTGCACTTAAGAGTTAACATCCTACCATTGTGAATTTTAGTGTGAACTGGGTAGTTTGCAGCTTCTTGCAGGCTTTGTTTACTGCAGTGTCTCATCTTCAAAAGGAGCTGGAATTTATTCCTCATGAACAAGAGGCATAGATGATGCTGGAGCACAACAGTCAACCTGGAACTGTTTAGTTTTACTAATCAGTTTGAGTGTATACTGTTTCGTTTGTGACATTGAAAAGAAGAATTGATTTTATCCTGAATGCCAGAGTGATTTTACTGCTACAGATCTGACAGATTGTCCTGTCCTGGAGCTGAAGGTTTGGGATAGGTAGGTTTGTTCCCCAGTTCTGCTGTATGTAGCAGTTACCTAAGGTTAAATACTTACAGAGTTGGCCAGCAGTCCTGTTCACTGCTTGTCTTGCATATTTGACGTTTAATCTCCCAGTCAGCATGGCTCAGTTCCCAAGTTTGTAGTGTTCCCAAACTAAAGGGAGCAGTCTGCACTTGATAGATATAGGAGATAATGCAATATAAATAGTCTAAGGGATGTGTGAGCCGTCAGGATGGATACAGTGGAAGGTTTCCACTTTTGAGATAGCAGTAAGAGAGGGCATTAAAATACCCTGGTTGCTACTCCTAGTTGTATTGAATGTTATCAGTAGAAACTCCTTTTTTATCAGTCCTGATTTTCTACTTACACCCTGGTTCAGGCCACCCTCCAATATTTAGGTTTATTTTGTGATAACTGGCCTGGTACTGCAGCTCCATGACACACTGTGCTCTTCCAGCTCAATCATTGTTACAACAACTGCTTCTCTCTCACGTTATTATGCATCTTAATGCTGCTGTTTTAAATGGCCATTCTATTCCAAGCAAGATCACTTGTGACCATCATTAATAACCTAAGGCAGAGATGGAGAAGGAAGGTGGGGGTGATGCTCATGCCTGCAGGTGGCAGGCGGGTGCTGCTGAACAGACGGGTACCTGCTGCCTCACGCCACGGGCAGGAAGGAATCCAGTGCTGCTGGAGAGCCTGGGAAGGAGGAAAAAAGCTTTGAAGTAATGGAATTGACCCATCCACACAGCTTACTGTACCACCTTGCTTGACTTGTCTTATCCAGAAGAGATTAGTTTAAAATGCTGGGGTTTGCTCCCATTCAATTATTTACATTTTTATAGAAAGAAGTGTTACAGTGCAGCAAAAACAAGTAAACATCCAGATGTTTAAATACTGAAATACCTGGATGTGAGATGATGATGAGAAAGTCGCTACTGAAAGGTGTACTATCTGCTGGTATGTAAAAAAGCCCATTCTAAGGTTATTGCCAGTCAATGAGTTATAGTCTTCTCTAGTAAGAAACAAGATTCAGGGCATTTTTTTAAAATACTTAAAATAAAGCAAGCTCTGCATTGCTCCTTCTGTACTTTCCCTTTAGCCAGTTCATGTTGTCATGACACTTTTCTGTTCAAAAACTTTCTCCTTAGAGACTCCCAAGCTGCCTCAGCTGTCAAAGATAAAGTGCCAAGAAAACGTGAACAGTGCTGTGAGTGCTGGGCTGGCAGGTGAGAGTTCAAGCTGAATCTGGTGAAACAATTTTCTGTGTGCAGGCTCCACATGGCTCAGGGTGCTACAAATGCTATGCAGAGCTTCTCAAAATCCCTTGGAGGGGAAGTCAGCCCTGGCAGGTATCTACCAGAAATTACAGCTTCATTCTAACAGATTTTTTCTTAGTAAAAGTAATGAACTTGGGCTGACAGGTTGTTTGCAATATTCCTCCTGTCCCCTCATCTCCCTGTGAGAACCACCAACAAAAAATTATACTTAGTGTAATGAGAAGTGATACAAGGCAGCCAAGTGTAAATTGTCCAGGGAAGGTTAAAGAGAGATCCCCACCCTTCTCCCTCTACCACCCCAATGCCCCCCACCCCGATTGCACTAATTTCTCTTACCATAGGTTTTGCTATTAAGAGTTTTATAGATTAAAAACCCTCAGCAGCTGGATCAGTTGGATGTCTTTTGATGATAAGAATCTTCCATATTCTACCTTGATGACTGATATTCCATATTCTATCTTTATGACATAAATCAACTCATGAAATTTTTTTTTCTTGCAGCTAATACTGGTCTATTTTTGGCTCAAAAATCCCCCAGATACCTAGGGCAAAATGTGCATATTTAAAGTTCCATGGAGTTTGTGTAGCCAATCTGATTATTAATCACATACAGTTTAATAAGTTGCATTTTTATGAAACACAAACTGTTTGGCAGGTAAGGGACCGTTTTAGTGAATTGTCAGGATTTTGGTATCTTCAGCTTTTTTTGTAGATTTTGTTTTCACAGTATCTTCATAAAATAATGCCACTTTGGGAATGAGAAATTTGAACAAACTTTATATATGGAGTGGGGAGAAAACCACCTCATTAGAATCCCTCTGGTAAACAACCCCACTGGCTGCGGTGCCAGACTGGAACTGCCATCTCCCCAAGCACAAGTGCAGGAGGCCCTCATCTCCTGGCTCAGCCTGTCCATCGGTTCTGGCCATCCACCCACACTGCAGGACTTTCCACTGTCCTTGAGCCAGCGAAAGGATGGTGCATTTGAATCCAAAGATGGCAGGACAACTCTGGAGAAGAGTGTCTTTTGTTCTGTGGATATAAAGGGGGCCCCTTTCCTGGCCATCTGACATCTAAACTTTGAGGCATTATGGTCACACTTTCCCAGCTGGCCCAAATACTATAGCACATGTAAAGACAACAGAGCAAGTGTCACCAATAGCACAATCACTGTAGAATTACTCATGATACATGAGTATACCAGAAAAAAGTGTGCATTTTCACTCATTTTGCCAGAAATAGAAATTTCTGTGCTTGTTCTACTTGGGGACTTTAGCACTTTGACTCCCAAGAGTTAAACATCCTAATGTTGAAAAAAACTCCTCCATTTCCTTCTGCAGGAGGTAATTTCTCTTCTCAGCATCTTCACGAGCACGTTCAGAATTCCTCAGCTTGATCTCCAGCATTGTGTATTTCTTTCGTTCTTGGTCCAGTTCTTCTTCTAACCTAACCACTTGTTTCCTCAGGTCTGCACTTGTTTCTTCAATTCTTAAAACCAATGGGGAAAGAGAAAAAAAAAAAGCTTTTTAGGTGGGTGGATAAATACAGCTAGTAACTATAATAAATTTAAGTTGTCCCACTTAGTTCTCTCCTTTAAAACTTTCTCTTAGTTTCTAACTGCCATTTCATTAATGCTGAACTTAAGGGCAGAGACTCCTTGAAAGCTGGAGCCTTCTCTATTTGTATCTTGAGAAAATATGCTCAAATCTTAGAAAACAACATTTACTTTAGGGCACGAGACTGGATGTCTGAGGAGATATATTCCTCAGTTAGGCTGAGTGCAAATATATAATTCTGAAATAATCTTTTAACCTCTGTTTTCATCCTGATACTGTTTCTCCATATGGATATCCAGTACAGAGCAACATCCTTGGAGATCAGGTCAGAGTCCTTCCTCACCATCCATTTAATGGTCTTTCTGTAAAGTTTGTTGTTGACTTTGGGGTGGGGTACAAGATTTTACAAACCCCAACATGTCATGTGAGGAAGAATGTGAAGAACAGTATTTAAATTTAATCTGGGCACAAAACCCTGGTGCAAGACTCAGAACTTTTCACTAAGGAGGTCAAAGAACAAGGTTCACAGTTTTGTGACTTGAAAGAAGTGCAGAAGGCAAAGCAGTTGCTGTCCCCTCTGTCATGTTTCCTAATCACAAGACAGAGTTATGATGTTAATAAAGAGGAGGGAATATTTTCAGATAGGAATTTCTGATCACTAGGATATGATTTTAAAAATTAGGCTTTTCCTAGGAAAAGTGTACCCCATTTAAAATAGAATAAATTTTTTAAAAATAATTAAAAAAAAACCAAAACACCAAAAACCCCCCAAACATGAAACCACTCCCCCCTCTCACTGATACCCAGCTGTGAAGCTGGGGTGCTGACCTTCCTGTGAAACTGTGAACAGGTTATTTTTAGACAGAGTAAATTATACTCAACAAGGGCATGCTACTGCCTCCATACTAAAACAAACAAACGAAAACCAAATGGGGGCTTTGGCAGTGCCAGAAGGGTCTGAATTCCATTTTGTGACTGGCCAAGATGCAATTATGCAGGCAGGGCAGTTTGTCCCCTTGAGCTGTTCCTTTACATTGTTTTACACACAGGTAAAGATGGCAATGGGATCCTTGTCGCAATTTCCACAATGAATCAGAAAGTCACACACAGGTGCACTGACCTACACCAAGTTCTGCAAAAAAGGCCCATCTTGGTGAAGGCAGACCTTTATCGCCAGCCAGCTGTGGCTTCTTGCCTAATAGGACTCTTCTGAAGCTGAGTTGCTTCCCCCCACACACACACTTTAAAGCATTTTTGTTACATTCTACAGCTCTGAGCTGCCAATTACATTTTTCTACCACTAAATTTAGGGGTCAGCTACAGCAGCCTAGATTAGCTGTCTATGTTCTGAATTACAGAGGGTAACAGTACCTAATGCATTTCTACATACACAACATAGCAGTCCTCTCCAAGGTACTTCCATTTTCTTAAAGAGTCCAGGTGGTAAACATGAATTACTGAAACTCAACAGAGAATGTCTGATAATTATAATAACCTTGAGGGAGAAATGCTGTGGAACAGGCTAGTTACAGGAAGGCCATAAAACTTGCCTCCCTTTGACTAAGAGAGAGAAAATGGGCAGTCAATGATGAGAAATAACAGCTTTTCCATCAGCAAATGTTCCTTACATCTGCCGCAGGCAGGTAGTGACTCTGCTTTCCCTCCACTTATTTATGTGCCAACAAAAAGCTCATATTCTCTCATTAAAACTTGTCCTGCTACACACACAGAGTTCTGCAAACCACACAAGCACATGTACAACTGTAAAGCAATAAATTATTATTTTTGGGGACTAAATTTTCTTCAATAAAATAAAGACAGTGAGGCAGCCTAAATTCTTCCTGCTAAGCAGCCTCCCTTCTTTGCTAGTTAGCTCTTGTCTTTCCACAGAAACAGACTTTCATGCAGTCTCAAAAGGAACATATTTTTTCACAAGTAAATTGCTGCAGATGTAGTAAAAACATTGCAAAATTTTTGAGAGCTGAAAAACTTGGCTTGAAATTCTTAGACTTGACAGCACAATCCTTCAGGCTGTAATCCTGAACAGCTGGAGTCATCCTGTTTGATACATAAAGGCTGTGATTGCATCTTGCCTGGTTTTATGAAACTTAGTTCATTATGCATTTTCCTCAGTTACTTTGCCCTGTGAGACCTGGGCAATTTACAGCCCTCCCCTCCAGCCATAGTGCTCTCTGCCCTGTCCAGCTGAAGGGGAAAGGCAGGTGTTAGAGCTGAAGCAGCTGGAACTGCTCAACAGCTGGAATGAAGAACAGGTCTTCCTGGATGCCCCTGATGTTCACAGCTTAAGGCCCTGTTGGAGCAGTTTTAGTAATAAGAGGTGGAAAGCCACCTCTTCCCCCAGGCAGCAGGTAAGAGTGTGCAGCCTCGTGTTTCTGTTTATTACTTTCTATCCCTGCATCAAGGCTTGCCAGAGCAGCTCTGCAGAATTAAATGCAAGGCACATACCCTCATCTCCTTCCATTCTGCATCAGTAGGGCATCTAAAAAATCCAAATAAGCCATGAACTACCACACTCATTCAGAGACCTTTTTCAACACCCCATGCTAGCGACCGGTGATGTTCTCATCAGCTCCTGTACCTGGAACACAACAAGGTGAGGGTAGGCTTCTCTCCCACTCTGTGATGGAACTGAGACTGCTACACAGCCTCTTTTTCTTTTCAGCTTCACACACCAAGGCAGGACAGTGCACAAGGCAGAAATGCTGCAGAGGCTGGCAGGTCACCACCATAGGAAATCATAAAATAAAGCAGGAGGGTAGCAAGTAAAATTCCTGCCTTAACAGTTGGCCCACGGGAAGACATCAAAGTTCAGATACATTTCTGAGAAATTAATTAATTAACAAGAAAAAAAGTGGCAACTAATGCAGCCTAAAGCTGTGCTGCGCTATACTATGCCAACTGCCATATGTGCTTTTTGTACCAGGTTTGGGAGACTGACTGTAAACTGAGGTATGGAAATGCTACCAGAGTTTTAGTAATTGAAGGAGTATAACAGTAACACCTGAACACAAAAAAAACAACAAACCTTGAGAACTAAACTATTAGTAAAAAATGGGACTACAGCCCTTCTACAGTGCAAAGTGCTGGTGTTGTAGAGCCCAGGCCAATATTCTTCTGTATTATAACATGGTGTGTAGTTTTGCATGTGGCTGTATATTAAAACATATATTGTTGCTTAAAGGAATTACCTTACATGTGAATATTTCCCTGAGTGCTTGCCTGAAAGTCATTCTATTAAGCACATACACTCATAAAACCTAATATACCAACTCCCACAAATGAATAAATAGGACTTCCTAGTTCTTAATACTTTCTGCTTCCTACAACAGCCCCATCCTCACACACAGCTCTCCTGAAAACTGGAGGAATTTTTCTGAGCTCAGCTCTTAAGTATAACACCAGCAGTTGTGCAAGAAAACACCACTGGGCAAATGATGACACACTTCGCTGTCTGCTGCACAAGCTGCAGCTCGCTGCTACTCCAAGCCAGGGGCTGCCACAGGAGCCAAAGACCACTTTTTACACCAAAAAACAAAAGCAAGGTTTCTAGAAGTTTAACACAAAAGGGCTGCAGAAAAAGTTGTAGCTGAGATGCAATCCCAACAACCACAAAAAAATCCACTGCAAAACAGTCAAGAGCAGTTTCCTCAAGAATGTTCCTATGGGGAGAAGCAACAAGAAGCCCTCAATTTCAGACTGATTTGGTACAAATACCAGCACCTGCACAGACCAACAGAGTTCCTTGTTGAGGCCTGACCATGCTGGGTCCCAATTCCTCCCTCCAAGATTTTCTGTTTCTCTGAGGACACCAAGAGCAGACTTTGGCATTACCTGTGCAGTACTCATTTCCACTGAAAACACAGAATGTGAAATACTGGATTTCCCTTTATGGCAGAAATCCCCTTTTTTTAAATGACCTCTTAGATCAGAGAAAGAAAAGCTGGATTCAGAGAGCAGTGAGGAAAGAGCAGGACCAGATCTGCTGTCACCTAAACCCAAACTTCATGTCTGAGATCCTGATACCCTTCAGAGCTCATGTTCAGACAGAGCTAATGTTGGCAGACAACTTCCTTGTCCCCCCTGCAGATGACATTACCTTTTGATACTAGTCTCATACTCAGTCCTCTGTTTGCTCAGTTCTGTCTTTAGCTCCACCACCAAGCTCTGTAAGGCCCTGGAGCATTGGACAGAGTCTCGGGAAGCTGCAGCTGGATCGCTCTGTTCACTGCTGCTGGTGCTGCATGCATCAAACCTGTCCATGCTGTTTTCCAGGTCTGCAGTCTTGCCCTCGCTCTGAGACAGCGAGCCCTGAGTTATCCACTCGGTTTTGAGAGAGCTTAAAGCAGAAGAGTCACTGGCCCGGCAGGCTGGGCAGCTGCTGACTGAGTCCATCACGGAAATCTCACATGACGACGTTGACCATGTAGTGCTGGCCATGCTGTGTGTGCTGAGGGACAGGCTGGACGAGGGGACGTTGTCGTAAGTGGAGAGTCTCTGGGAGGAACATGAGTCTTTAACTCGCTCCCCAGATGCTGTCCGGCGGTGGCCTCGGAGTGAGTACAGTCCGTTCATCAACCAGTTCCCGCTGGAGGAGAGGTTGGGGATATCTAAGGATGAGCTGCCCAGCTTTGGACTCACAGACCGTGCTCCCTGCTGGCGGAAGGAGTATTTCCATGGAGGCAGTGTCTGCACTCTTTTACTGGGGCTGGTGGCAGGCTGAGTTAATTTGCCACTATGCTCTGGAGGAGTGTTTTTCACTGCAGGTCCTGAGGTGGCCTCCAGTGCCACAACATTGCTAGAAGGCAAATCAGCGGGGCTGGGAGCACTGTTCTCTGACCTGCTGTCCTCCCCGTCCTCCTCAGAGATCCACTCCACAGTACTGCGCTGCCGCACAGGCCTGATTTCCAGTTGGCTCCCTGGCACATCTGCCTGGGGAACAGCAAAGATTCGTCCCTGTTCACTTATCAGCACTGTCATCAGGTGTTGAACTAGTGAGGTGCCTGTGGGTGGAAAACAAAGGCAAGCAGTTGAGGAGAGGTGAAAAGCCCTCAGAGACTCATCCCCAGCCTGTGGGATATCCCATGAGCTCCTTTGAAGCCTGTGGCTGCCGAGCCTTTCAATGGGTCTGCACAAGGAGCTACTCTGGGCCTTTCTATACAGGACTTCAAAGGAACAGGAGTCATTGCTTTTGCTGGAAAGGGCGACTGTGAAGGATGCGGGTCTCAGTTCAGTTCATGAATGTAGCTGACTAGCAGAGCACAAATTATCACTAGCAATGATTAATAAACTGACCTGCTTAAGCAGGCTGGAAGCTTAACTGACCTTGGAGGATGACAGAGGTGGAGGACACCTGGAAAACAGGGCAGGTCTGTACCACACCAGGCATGGGCTTCAGAGCCAGCATCAATCTCAGTGTTTGCATCCACGCAGGATAGTGCAGCCCCATGCAGGGATGCATGGCAGATCCTGAACACACTAACCTATTGGCTGGGATGAAGCATCTCTCTGTCCAGCTTCCAAAACCAGCAGGTTTAAACAGCTAGGTTGCACTCAGTTTTATAGTCTGAACAGGCCCAGAGCTACAGCTTATTGAAGAACCAGAAATTTCAGCTCAGGTTTCTGCTGCACTCAGTGTATAGAGAAACTTGCAGAAAGTCTGACATCTGCATGATACTCACACTTACAGAAGGTGCACAGCAAGTGCAGAAAGTACCTGCAATTATTTAAATCCACAGAAATGAGCTATCATTGTTTTCCAGTAGTGGAGCCAACTGTTATGAACTAATAGAGAACACCACACTTACCAAACCTAAAACAAAGCACTTCCTACAAAAGAGAAAAACCCTTAAAAGAATGAATATGCCATTCTATCTTTAAGTATTACCTAAAATAGAGAATAAGACCAACATACTCACGGGTTCAAGACAAAAGACTGATTTTAATGATGACATTTTGGCCTGACAGCAAGAGGTACTGAACTCACCTACCACTTCTATTTTATGTCTGTGAACACAGGAAGAGAAATAAATGTCTTGAAGATAAGGGCATTCCTAACAATTTAGCTGTCAAACTTCAGATATTTCTATTTGAAATTCGTGGTTTAAATTTGAAGAGAGACACAACTAGAGCGCTTTTGTTAAGATCTGGGTGCAGTATTTTACTTTATCAGTTTATTTAGCAGATTGAAATTACCCTGAAGCTAAAAAAAATTGAGTCTGTACACTTCTCTGTTATTAAATCAACCTTCTATCCTCAACTAAAAATTAAACAAAACATTGCTATTGCTGTTGTTATTAGTATAATGATTAAGTCAAAAAATCCAGCCTACATATCCCAATTTTTCTACAGTTCAGATCTACGGCAATACAGAATTCCAGGTCAGATCACTGTAGTGCTTTTAGATGATGATTAGGAGAGACCAGGAGACCACAGCATCTGTGGCACCCGTGCACCTACACACAGTTCAAGCACCTCTGCCATCAGATGAACTGCATAATGAAATGCCTGAGGTGAACTGAACCCAGACTTGTCACCTGTGCCAGCTGAACAAAGAGCATGCTGTTGGCCCAGGCTGTGAGAGCCGTACCAGCGCTGGGCCGGTGGCCACTAGGGGAAGTCACAGCATCACACACAGGCTGATTTCAGCTGTCCTCACCTCTCTAATACTGAATAATCAGCATCTGCTCCCACACTCCCTTCTCCTCCCTGGACTTTTGTACCTTCCACACTTTGAGGAAGTCTCAAATCTACCCTTAATAATATGGCCCACATCTCTGTGGTAGGCTTTGAATCCCTGAACAACTAGAATATGTCAGGTCATGCTCTGAAGTTTTCCTTACAGTGACTTGCCATTGTGGGCAACATCTGCACATCACCTGTGCAGACCTAAAGGCACTGCTGCTACTACGGCATAACAATACTGGTGTTCTGTGAAGGACTTCCATCACGCAGAACACCACATCAGCTGTCCCCTACAGCTCAGGAGCAGCACCAGAGCCAAGTTCAAACATCCTGGGCACAGCATCTCTATCTGTGCCTACTGCTGCACATCTGTGTAGGCTTGCCAAGAGCCCACAGAACTCAATGCAAAGACCCTACTAAAGCTTGCACCACAGTAGCTGTGTTCCAGTGCCACCCGGGAGAGGAGCTGCTTCCCAGCCCTAGTGTCAGCCTACTTGACCCATATCGAGGCAGATGATTTTAAAGTTTCAGATTTTTACATCCAAAATTAACAGTGATTTTCAACTCATTTCTTGGATTCTGTGAAGTTCTGACCCATATACAGTCTGCTTAGAAAACTACACTTCTAAGACACCTAGTTATAGCCACTGTGGCACAGCAAAAATTACAGCCCTCTCATTGTGGCCTGGATGTTCTCTACAGGTTGCTGTAGAACCACTGAAATGCACCACTGCTAAATGATAGCAGTTTAGTATTTAAGCATGGTCCTTCTGAAAAACATGGGAGCTTTCATTTTAGCAGTAGGTTCAAAAAGAGTTTCCAGGTGGCAGAGGCATCTCCACATAGTGGAGAGACACTCCCAGACCAGCAGCAAATGGGGTAAGAGAGGTCAACCAATACACCCCCTTCATAGGCACTGATGGATGGCTTGACTTATTCTGACTGTGCAGCTACTGATCAGCTACCAACAAATGCGTGACCTACAGCTCCAAAGCACAGCGGTTGTGCTGTCTCACAAGAGCAGTACCTACCTTCCATCATGGTCACCGGATCTTCCATTTTGGGACGTAATATATTTGGTCCAAATACTGTAGCCAGGTTCTGGACACTCATCTTGTTAATGCTGGAGTGAGCCTGAACTTCATCGAGGAACCTTGAAAAGTCCCCCCAGAAAAATCAAAGGAGGAGGGGAATAATAAGTAACTTCTAAGACTATAGGCATTCTGGGGCAGGGACAGTTTAGTCTTACTTTCATACAACCCTGACACCTGAAATGATTCTGGGGACTAATGCAGCCTAAATACTCAGTAATTACCCCAGATCCCTTTTAGTGTATGAACTAGAGAAGACAGGATGGTTTCTGTCAGAAGTACCCATCCAGCAGGGATCCAGCCTTCTACTGGGTCCGAAAGGACAGCTTTTTGCATTTTTATAGGAATTCTCCAATTACACAGATTGACTTCAGGCAGTTTTCACTTACAGACATAACAGAATTAAAAAGACATTTCACTCTTCTCCTTGTCCTAGAACTAGCAGCCTGTGAAAAGAACTTTGTGGCTGGGCTTGAATCTAACAAAATACAGATCACAGAATCATAGAATGGTTTGGGTTGGAAGGGACCTTTAAAGATCATCTCATTCCAACTTCCAGATAAAAAGGCAGCCCAAAAAACTGGGAGAATCAGCACAGAGCTGAGGGGAGAAAAGGCTGTGGAGTCCCTGGAATCCAAGAGGAAGCTACTCCTAACCACACTTCCAAACCAGAGCAGATGTCAGACTGGCTGTTCTGACTGCATCTGCTACTCAGCTTGTGTCATAAATCTTCCAAGTGTGCAATACGTAGAAATAATGTCTTTCTTTAGTGGTCTGTAAGTACTTCTGAAATAAACAATATAATACATTGGTATCATTCGTGCCTGCTGCCAAGGCTGTGGGTGACAGCAATTTGCTTGGCTGATGCTCTTGGATAAACCAAGAGCTTCCTTCAGGCAGGCTGTTCGTTCACCTCTGAATGTTTTATAGGAGCAGTAACTTACACGTAAGTGATGTCTGAATATTCATACATTAAGAATATATTATTTGCATGTAAGCCTCACAAAACTTGAAGACTTTTCCAAGTGTTAATTAATTTCACTTACTTGCATATGTATTTGAGGAGGTTGTAGTTGGCTTGGGGCAAATTCTTCACCTGTTTAACCAGTTCCTGGGTGCCCTGAGGGACAGAAAAATCAAGAAGGAGAGATTAATGTAAATGCTGTAAAGCAGACGTGACTTTCCTTCAGTACTACAAAGTCCTCTTTCCATGGCCAAATGCTGCACAACAGATGACAACACAAGGACGCTTTGCTTTAAAAGAGGTGTCATCTAATGCATTGTGCATTACCAAAAAAAAAAAAAACCCAATATCCAGAATTTGACTCAGTTCTCAGTGGAAATCCTCCAGTCAACTTTAATGGTTGATGTAGAAGCCTTCAATTAGTAAGGCCTGCCAGCCTTCAAAGCCTGCCCACTGGCATCAGTGGCAATGTACCAGCAGATGTGCCTTTGCAGGACGTGGCCTATTTGAAACTTTGAGGCATTGAGTGCAGTACAAACACATCGCAGTAATGCTCAACTGGAGCACAGGAGAGTTTTTCTTGAAAAAGCTAAATGACACTCCAATTCAACTACCTCCTTTTTAATTACATCCATTTGCAGTCATTCTGATCGGGAACATACTTCCTCACCAAATTTCTGTTTTCACATTAAAACGTAACATGAGACATCAACTGAATGAATGACTTAAAATCCTGAAGCTATTTAAATCATATAATGAAAACCTCTGACTCAGAAGGCTACTGTCCTGCTACAGTCCCAAGTATCATTTGCTTGTTCCTGTCAATGCTGCAGTTGTCCTGGATATTTGCTTATTTTTGGGGACAACTAAACCTTTTGTAGAAAAATAGACACCAAAGCACCTTTATGAAGAGTGATAGCTGCTAATGAATGACAGAGGGCTGCAAACTAATGATGGAGACATTCCAGAAGCAACTGGTTCGGAGCCAAAAAAGTGCAGTTGGACATTCATTTCAAAATCTCCTCAATTTATTAAGGACTGTTAGGGAGGGAATTCTGTTGACCAGACTTTTGCAAGATCTTCCTGATTTCTCTGGTCCAGATAAGTCAGAAAGATCCAGAGAGCAGTCTCTATTCCTGCCTTTCTCCTTAATGTCCTAAATGTATAGGTACTTCTTTATTCTGTACGTCCCATTACAAAAAGAAAAAAGAGTTCTCTAGTAAAAACCTAAAACATAATTCTTAAAAGCAGCAGGCTTTTTTTAATTCCTTAGCTTAAACACCATGCTGTTTTAACAGTGACAACAACGGAGACACCAATAAAAGGCCAGTCACTTTTGAAAATCGCAATCCTCTTTTTTAACTTCTGAAAATTTTTGAATTAAGAACAGCTGCTACTGATGTGAAGGTTAAGGTCAGTTGTTCAGGTCAACCAGCTTTCAAGTGACAAGTTTGAACTAGAAATGGGTGAGCTAACAGACCTAATTCCCTCTTGAATTTTGCTCTGTAACCCAATTTATTTCAAATAAGGAAATCAAGATGGTATTTGGCACTATATTTCAAGTGCTCTGAATTAAAATACCATAGCTCCACTGGATGCAAGAGGAGGCTTTAGAACAGAAAACTGCAGGCAGCTGTGAACAGCAGGGAACATGACCTAAAGGTACAAGATGCTACCTGAAAGAAGAAAAGGCTCTAAAAATTTATCATTCATGCTCTGTCACAAGGAATCTCAAACATGGTATTACACAGAAAGTATCTTCATATTTATCAAGGCAGAAACACCTGCCAGGTTAAAAAAAGCTTTCTCTCCTACTGCAGCATTTATAAGCTGTGCCACAGATTTGTACCCACCAACCACTTGAACTGCAGAGGGCAGAAGGCCGAGCCTGGTAACACCACAGCGAAAGCGTAAAGGAAAACACAAGCTCAAAACCGCTGAATTAACAAATAGCACTGACCACGCTATGGCTGCAGCCCAGCAAGCAACACAAGCACTGCACTGTTATTCATCGTGGGATTTTGCAGTGATAACTCTTATCTCCTTGAAAATGCTGCTTTCCAACGAATTATCCCAAACCCAAGGGTTTTGCACTGTGTGTAACAGATCAGCACCAATTTGGAGCTTCTAGTTTGGCTGGAAAACTAGTAAAACTTTAGATGCTCATCCAAATGCAGATCCCTCTTTAAAAACTCAAAGCCATGTGTTCAATCCACTGAACTGCTGTGCAACTCTAGAGTACAGGTAGCAGTGAAGGCTGAATACTACCATGTTAAATCAGCTCAGACTCAAATGACTTTTTAGAAATTTGAAGATCTCTCTCTAAAATTGTTTTTAATTTTTGATCCCTCCTCCAAATCAATCGGGATCAGAATCAAATCTTTTTTAATGCTGCAGTCCTGCTGAGATACCTGGAGACCTCAGCACAATCTAAGGTCTCTGTTACGTTTATGTTTGCATTTGAATACCAGAGATGAGTTGGATGCAGAATGAAGAGATGAAAAGCAATTTGAATGAAAAATGGAAAGCTTAGCGCAGTGCTGGAGTTAGGCCAAGCTAAAATCATAGTAATTTCTATCCACAATCACAATGTAGCAGCACGAGGTGCCAAAAGTTTTATTCGAATGGCTAATTTGCCTTGAGCAATTCTGGTTTTATTGGGTGAGGGGGGGAGAGTGGGTGTGTAAAACTAAAGAAAGTGATATTTCAAGTTCCAAGTAAAAAATGAAAACAAAATAGTACTTCAAAGTAAACACCATGCTGTTTTAACAGTGACAACAATGGAGATAATTGTTTTAAATAATGTTTTATTCTTTAATAAATATGTTTTGATTTTTAAATTCCCTGCTTATCATTATGTGTTACAAATTATGGTTTCAATGAAACCACAGTTTCTAGGCAGGGGGATTTTCCATGTGGGAGGCAGCAAGTCAGGCCCCACAGGCTAGGTATGACTTTGTGCTACATTCTGCTCCACATGCTACTGTGCACGTACAGCATCTCCACCCTTGGTGTGGGCACTCCACCTTCCTTTCTGAAAAAGTAAACAGTCCTTGTTAAGGTTCCAGATTTTGTTGAAAAAAAAATTGCTTATGTTTACAACAGCAGCTTAACAAAACAACTCTGTGCTAGGACCAATGCTGTATTTTGTAAGCTTTCATTTTGGCTATCTAGTGCTCCTCATCACCTTTCTCATCCAAAGAGAATTCTGCACTACAAGTCATTTGAGTCTGACCTTGCTCCCACAGAAGCAACACAGATGTTGCTTCCCAATCTGCTGCAGCCTGTGCAGGCAAAATCAGGCAAACAACGTAGTTAATAAGCTGAGCAGTGATATACAATTATGTTTGCCCAATTTGGCAGTGTCTCTACTCTTGTGCAACAGTGCTTAATGGATCAAAAACTTCTCAGTCTGCACATCTTATGACCAAAATGAAACCAGCTCTACTGCCTCAGAAGTACTGCTGTTTCTTGTGAAATAACCGCTGTGTGGTCTGTAACACAGCACCCTGCAGAGATGCCTGAGTTCACTGAGGGTAAGGCAGAAAATGAGCAAGTTTTGGAGTTAGTAGACACATACCTCTACCTATGAAAAGACAACACTAGTGCACTGACACACTGATGTGGCTGTGTCCAGGATGCAAATGCATATTCACCTGTGGTAATATACTGTGCTATGCACAGAAATTTGCTTTCTCAGAGCTGATTGGAGGTTACATCATTTGAGTGTTGAGAGCAGTAAACTTGCCTTTTAACCATAAAATATTACCACATATGCTACATTTGAGGCACGCAAACAAGCATCTTCATATGGGCATCATGAAGGACAATCTCCCCAGAGCCTTCTGCCACTTGAACTGAAGGTGAACTCCAGACTCGCAGTGAAGAACAGAATCCCACCAAAGACAAAGATGAGCATGCTCTTGAGACCACACACAGAAAACAGAACTGTGGACTGCAGCTTACAAGCCCTCAGGCCTTTGCCTCTTTAGCGAAGGAAAGACACCAGAAACAGCCCTTACAGCTTCTTTAAATTGCTGTTTTAGAAAGTGGCACAGTTCCACCGCATCAGACCAGATCCAACGTGCCTCTGCAGTTAGCAAAGGACTAAGGTATCACCGCAAGAAGAACAATATGGATGAAACCAATCAATCAATCATATTGTAAATTATCCTGCTCCTCTCAAGCAGTGAATCAAAATTTCCATGATTGCCACAGACTTGATGATTTTTGTCAGCCCCTTCCCTTGCCTGGAAACCAAAGAGAAGAATATCATAAGAAGTTTCTGGCAAAGTATTCATAGCATTATTTCCCCCCCATTTGGGGATAATAGCATAGTCTGCTCTTTTGTAGTGCCTTTACTCTAAGAAATACAAAGGCCATTGCACTGATCACTGTTTCATCCACGAAAAACCTTGGGAAGCAGAATATGTTGTTCTGATATTTAAAATGGAAAACACAGGAAAAGGGAGTGACTTTATACAGACTGCTAATGAGTTAACAGCAAGGCTGGGAAAGGAACCCATACCTCCTTCCTACCTTGCATCTCCTGCTGATTATGCTACGAAACACCTTTTTTAGAAGAAAGAAGCACTAGGCTACAAGACTGACTTCAAAAAAGCTCCTGCTTCAAGCAGTAGCCTGTGACAATAGCACCCAATTCACAGCTTCGGGAAAATTCAGAGGAAGGTTCCCAGGGACTTCATTGATTTAAATCAAGATTGAAGAATGATGAGAAAAAAAAATTCGTACTACACTGAGTCTGGGGAACAACCTCTGATGTAGAAGGAGGCAGATTAGAAGGATCACTGACCTCTCCCTCATCTTTTGAGAGTAGTTGTCCACAAGAAAGAAAGTCTTCATATTTGGCAAAGGGGATGACAGGCTCTGGCAGCTCTCGAAGGTAAAGCTTCAGGAGGGACGCCACAGTGTGAACATCTGTGTTGCTGCAACAGAGAAGAGGGAAGGAAATTTAGAAACCCACACTACTGCAAAGTTTGATGCCTTTCACTTGGGGTGCATCAAGGTCCCTCTTAGAGACAGGGACAAAGTAGGCACATGGAAGGAAGTTCTTCACAACGTGTTTGTACTAGACAGGAGGGTCTACCTGGAAACAAGGGAAATCTCCCATTTTGTCAAGATATAAATGCACCTGAGGCAACACTGGCAGTGGAAGGGATATGCCCATGATACTGCTTCAGGTAGGGTGGCACTGTGGTTCCTCAGCCAATGTGGATCAGGAATGCGAGCAATACAGTCCAGGCAAGTGCACAGTGAACACACAGCATTGATAATAGAGTTCAGCTCCTGATTCCATGAAACATAAGCTCTTGGCCTCCCACTGATCCTTCCCAATACTCTCCCCAGCCAGCACACACATACATGTGATGGGCCAGGCTCCCAAGTGTCCTGGTCAATCGTTAGGAAAAAAATGGAGGAAGCTGTATTTCCTCCAGGTCTTCTATTGCCATTTGGCATGGCTGCCTGGCTTGTGGGTCACATCCCCTTCCCCATACTGGGGTATCTGGCATTTCCTAGCACATCTGTTATGATAGGATATCAGCTTTTATTTTCTCTCCTAATCCCAGAACTTCTTTTTCCTCTTTTCTCTCCTTTGCTTTAAGTTGGGTTTGAGGTATTAGATAGCATGATGAAGATGCACCTGTTCTTCCCTTTCCAGCTATCCAGCTTTTGGTGTATGGCAATACCTCTCCCTCATTTCAAGTTTCCTGTTTTACAACTTTGTTAATCACTGCAGATGACCTCCTCAAAGGTTTTGGCTGTTGGAAGTCTAAACAGGTTTTGTCACCAGCTCCTCCCTACCCACCATTATTATGGCAGTCTTCAAAGAAGAGAAAAACACATCATAAACATTGGGCAAGGGAACTTCAAATCTCTCTTCTATCCAAAATCTGAATCTCTTCTACTTAGTATACTTTTAAGCATTTTTGGAAGACACGGCTAAAACAAAACTGGAAAAATTACAACAGATACCACTTGCTTCTAATCCTGCTAAAGCTATTCCTATTAAACAGCTCCATCATATTTGAGAATACCACAGTTTCACACTGGTTTTCTTCAGTTGATTATAAACATTCTACAAATGAGATCAGTACCATTATTCATTATTCTTTTTTTTTCTTTAGTGCAGACTTTCAGGCATGGATGGTGGATATGACTATCACTGAGCAGCAGAGCCCAGACTACAGCTTCAGGGCTGCTGGCTGCAGTAGCTGTTTCATCCACGATGCCATGTGAAATCCAGCCAAACTTTCAGTGGCATGAAAGTGCAATAGGAGCAGACTGCTGTAGGTGCTTCCAAAACAGCAACACCTGGCCTTTCATAAGAACATGCATATGCATTAAAAAGCCAAATTGGAAAAGCAAGCCTTTTAAAAATAAATATTTTAATTATCAGTCATCACAGAGATCTGATCCACCATGGGGCAGACAGGCTCTAACTGTCTGGAAGATCACTGTAGTTACAAAAGACACCTACAAGTGCTGACTGCAACTAGGAAATAAGAAAGGATATTCCTTTCACTACACCTGATTTGGAAAGAAGCATAAAGATTTTACATTTCTGTTGCCTAAGTATCCCAGGTCATACCTAGATAGTTTTAGTTACACACAGAGAAAATTATGTTAGCTAGGAGGAGGAACATTTCACTTAACCAGAGTGTAACTGCCTCTCCCTTGTTCCTATCTGTGACTATACATATACATAAGATAGATTATACATATACAAGAGCAGAGAGCTGGGTCTGCAAGTTGCAGTGGACACTGTGGAAAAAGCAAAAGGCAATAACTGGGAGACCCTCAACTATCAGGCCAGTCAGGTACCCCAGGCTTGCTTCCTTGAATTCTATACTGAACCTTCAGTTATCATATCACACATCGACTACCTGAAAGGCAGGCATTCCTTTCTGGAGATCTCTAGTTAAAGGGGAGACTTAGATGCAGAAAGCACCTTTATTTCCATAGGCATTTGCACTGGCTAAATAGATCAGTGCTGAGGGTGGTGAGGCACTGAACAGGTTGCCCAGAGAAGCTGTGGATGTCTTATCCCTGGAAGTGTTCAAAGCCAGGTTGTATGGCCTCTGAGCAACCCGGTCTAGTGAAAGGTGTCCCTGCCAATGCCAGGGTAGTTGAAACGAGATCATCTTTAGGGTTCTATTCTGCTTTAAAAATACTGGGTGGAGGCTTGGCTTATCTTTGTAGCAATGAAGTTAGTATAGATAACACTAAAGTAAAACATGAAATTGAAACTGTCATTCCTAATTAACTCCTTCCATAGATACTCCTGTTCCACAGGAGTATAATTGAATGCGTATAAGCATTCAATTAAGATAATTCTAAATCTGAACAAGAACACCCAGACATTCAATTAAAAATACAAAGATTTTTTTTAAGAAAAGATTGAGACAATTTAATGATTTCAAACTTATTTTTTCATGAAAATATTTCTCAATGTTTGACACATCCATTTAGGGAGCAAATACTGTCTGTGGTTAAGAATCAAAGAAAGGAGGATGGGTGGTCTGGGAAGCTGAGGGAAGGAAAGAATTAGAAGAATGTTTCAAATAAACTCCAAAGAAATTCTTCCCAAGATGAGACCAAACACTGTTTCTGCCCACGCAGGAGAGTTCTAGCTCTTCCTGGATAGCAGGCAGGGAAGTTATTGGCAATGTTGAGACTGGTTGCAGGTCCAAGGGAAGTGATCCCCTAAGGTTAATGTGCTGGTAATATATCAGATGCCACCTGCATCACCTGGAAAAATGGTGCTAGTGAGTTCCAGCAAGAAATGATGCCAGGTCTCCAAGACAAGATCCCAGATCTGATCTCACTTATGGACCTGTGAGACAGGGATCAGGCCAGATCTACAAAATGGCCTTGGATCCAAATATCCCTGAATGGTCTCTGCTAGAGTCCAGCCCTATTTCACAAAGCATTATTAAGGTTAGCACAATGCTGACCTTCACTCTGGGTAGCATGTACATGTGACAGAGTAGAGGAAATACTAGTTACAGGGTATGGACAGGATTTGACTGGAAGGGCCCTGAGAACATTCACCTTTCTGATCATTTGACTGCCTGGGCTCAGGGTCAATGTAGAGAGAGCAGAGCTGAGAGCTGCCCCTTCCCTGGCTGCCCTTGGATGGAGCGCTCAGAGACAGGTCTGACACTCTTCCCGTGGGAACGGATACTAAGCTGAGCATAACACTCTCTGGCATAACAGGGAAGATGTGTGAGATGGTGGTGACTATTCTGAAACCTGGTGACAAAGGAAGAGTCGAGCTATTGCCCCAGGCAGATCTGCTGTGTTTGTGACAAGGGAGAATGCAACATCTGAAAGCAATGAAATACCTAGTTCACCCCGTCATACCCCTTTCTATGAGAGGATCCCACCAACTGCACAGTACCCTGCACCCAAATCTAGCAATGTCATTCAACACATGCTGAAGCTGAAACACTGGAGTAGCCCCGTATAGATTAATGAGCTCATTTTTCCCTTTGCTCAAGCATTGAGCTGAGTAAAGGCCTCTGCACCCAACATCATGCAGGAGAAAGCTCCATCAGCATTTTAAATAAAGAGAATGATGGTGTGGAAAGAACACATAAGCCAGGATAGCCACTGCAAGGATAGCCACTGCCAGATTTTACATGTCAGAAATACACTAGCCTGAATTTGGTGATGTCAACTCACCTGTCAAAAAGGGGTTTCTCTCCACAGTCAAAAGAATCCTGCAGATCTTTGACAAGGTTGGCTTGTCCAGGCATCCGAAAGAGCCCCTCCTCTGTAAGACCTCGCTCCCGAATAAAATCCACACACTGTTCCACCAGGAGTGGGGCCAAGCGCTGGCCATACTTCCGCTCGTACTGTACGGTGTCCTCCAACCGCTGTCCAAAGATCCCTGACAGCAGAGAGCAAGAAAGACATCTGGGTGTCAGCTTAAACTCCTCTTGAGCTACTGCTCAGGGCTTACAAGGAGGGGAAACTTTCACATGGAGGGGAGAGCCTCTGTGAAGGCCCAGTTTCTAACAGACTCTGAAGAAAAAAATTATTTTAAAAGCAAGAATTATATGATGAATGATTTTTTTCCTCTTCTTAAGAGTGCTTCAAATTGTTCTCTGCCCTAAGCTAGTTCATATCTCATACACAAGGAAGGTGGGTTTAAGATTATGCTTATAGTAATCCACATCCGTGCTGAGTTTGAATTAAGTAATTATACTGTTATTGCATCTTCTGTCCTAAGAAGACCAAAACAAAGGCTACACTGACTTTACGGGACACATTTCCTTTCTGCATGCACGCTTCTCTTAGGCTCTTCTCACACAGCTGCCCTCCAGTAGTTTGCAGCCAGCCAGCCCTACAAGCAGCAATCCCACTAGGAAGGGATTGCTAACACTGCAGAGTACAGCTGTCAACGTTAGAAATGGCTATTGTGAGAATCTCCCACCATCTTGAGAGACCCTTTCTGTATCTTTTTCTTTAATTAAACTTGCTGAATGAAAACAAACAAACAAACAAACAGTAAAATGCATGCAAAATCCATTGCCCTTTCTACTAAAAAGTGTGCGCTATATTTCTTGCAGCTTGAAAATATCAAAATCACCAGATTCCCTAAAACCAGATCAGCCTAGGTTAATTCTAAAGTCATATCTACTGTAGACACACATCATCAAGTATGAAGCATGGTCTCTTTCTTCGGGGAACATGAAATTCCTGGCCAATACCAGCTGCTGAATGCCATTACTGGCACCAGATCTTTGAACAACAAGGGGCTCAGGCTGTAAGAGCCAGAGGTCTTAGTTCAATTCCTGCCACTAGGAAACTGCTCCATGTAAAAGGACAGTCACTGAGTTGTGTTCTGAAATTCTAACACCCTACAGTGTGTGGTGGAGTCATGGAGGACAGCATCCAAGTTAATCACATTTTGGTCATAAAAATTCAGTAAGTGAGGGAATCCCAGAATTTCAGATGACAACAGACCATAGCAGATAGGAAATTCTATTTAAAGATTTCTCAAAGCAAGAGAAAGCTTTCTACAGATATCAAGATTTTCAGATTGTTCATTCAGCAGTTAAACCTGCAGTTTTAAAAAAAAAAGCAGCATGCAATATTGGAGTTACACTGTTCCACAACCAATAGCCAGAAGCAGTGTTTAATGGCTGCACTTATGTGCTTATACCAGGCCAGGGAATTTGGTCATTTCTTAAGGCTCTACTTACCTTCCTGCTAGTGACCACGTGTTCCATTTTTACTTTAGTGCTATATTCATAAGAGGCTGATAACTTCTGGCAGGAAGCTTCCTAATGCCTGTTCACTGTTCTTCATAGGAGATACCATGTCAAACCATACCTGCTTTCTATTTTCAGTCCAACCCTGCTGAATCCTCAGTGAAGCAAACCTTTTGTTATCAGTTTCAACTCCCTGAATGAAAGCTTCAAGAAGGATCCTGAATTCCAATTTCCTTTCCCTGCCTGTTTGTTATACATCAGAAGACAGAAACCTTCCTTACACCACAGCCTACACAACTGCATTATAGTATCAAAGCCGGAGGGCCATGAAAAGTCTCAAAGGAAATTCCCTCATCCTGGCAGGAGGGCATGCCCTGGAGCATGGGAGCGACTTATCTTTATCACTGTATATACTGGATTTATTGCAGAGTAAAGGTTTTACTAGTTCTCATTTCTAATCTGTTTGAATTTTCACTGAGTTGGGTGTCTCTGAAGTCACGTTCTAGGACAGGGAATGTCTTCCTGCTTTTGCACAGGTTGCTTGGTAATCTCATCACATAATCCCTGCTGTCATGATGGGGCATATCTATTTCCTTTAAATGATACATGTTGTTCACTCTTCTAGATGCAAGACATATAGGTTCAGGGAGGTCAGCCTGTGGTAGATAGCAGCAGGGCAATAGCAGCCCTATTTTCTCAGATCTCTACTTGTTGAATCACAGCCCTGTTTCCTAATGTGTCTGTTTAGAGAAGAGTGTGGGAAAGAAGTAAATGCTCTGCATTCCCCCAGGCATAAAACATATATAATGTTTTTCTAAAAGCTCACGTTCTGGTGTTCTAGACTTAACTCAGATCAAGAACAAAGGCAGTGTCAGACAGACACATAAGCAAGCACACACAGAACAACTGCACGCATAATCTCCACTGAGGCTTTGTCTACTTTTCCCGAGCCTTGGCTGGTCTGTGGTCAGCAACATGCTCTAATACATTTCAGGCAACATCAGTCCTTGCCTTCAACTTGGATCACAACAGCTGTAGCTTTCTGTAGGTACAATCAACCTGTGAGTGACTTCCGAATAACAAATGGACTACAGTCAAACAGAGACCACTGACACAGAGATTAAGGAATGTGATGCTCAGGAAACAGAGATAGAAGGGGGACCTGCTTTGAGACTCAGATGGAGCAGCAGATGGACCCTTCACAAGCACAGCATCACCATTACTGTCTGCTGCACATCCAGATGTTGGGGATCCCATCTTTCCCCCTTCTCACACATTGAGGTCAGTAACACCTTTTTCTCCTGGATAAAAACAACAATCTTTGGAGGAAACGATGGCACTGAAATATTCTTACACTGCAATACTGCTCCACCTCCCTCCAGACCATTTCAAACAGGTAACAAAAAAAAAAAAGGCATGAGACCAAAACTGACATGATGACATGACTGAGGATGAAGCTGACCTATCCACCACATGATGAGTGAAAGGAATTGGCACAAGTGTGGATTTCTTCTTGTGTGAGTGTGTGCTGAAGGGCTGTGCAAGTGAGATCACACAATCCGCACAGGTCATTTTTTGTGGGAAGGTGACTCTGAAGCCATTGCCAGGCTGAAAGACTTCTCCCAGCCCAGCTCTCTTAGGTGCCTCCCACCTTGGTTTGGCAGCCCCACTCCAGCCCAACCCCAATTGCAGATCTATGCCTTTCTCTTTACCTTGAATCCTAATTTTTCCGGGGAAGCACTAGAGAAGATCACCAAGCATTGCACAGACCAAATATTTCACCCAAGCTCAGTCTGTTGCTAACTGCAACTTTTCCTCTGTTACATTTTTCCAGTTACACTGCATCTCTGTTTTTTCTTTATCCTACTTTTTTTCGCTGAGCCACAGACAAGGACCACCACAGATACTGCTCAGAAGAAAGACTGCTCTCAGGCCGAGTCTTTTGGCAGTAAGAGCATTATGGTTGGTGTTTAGAGAGAAAAAGCACAGAGCTGCAGCTAGAGTGGGACTGGAAAGTTGGCCTTGGAGAAATTGTTCATCTGTGCAGTGGCTGCAGAACTTGTCCATGGCTTAGAAAGGGAATGCTAAGGTTCATAAAAAGAGGAAGCTAAGAGCTATCTTTGGAATGGGGCTGGAAAGGGACTGTCAAAGGCGAGCAGGAGATGCTGATAGTTCCAGGCTTGCAGAAATCTTTCATGTGGGCATCTGCTGGGGGACCTTGATGAAGCCTGCCCTCAGGAGAATTATCACCAGGGCTCTCTCAGCCACACTGAGAACAGATGTAGCAGATGCGCCTACTTCAGTCTCCCAGGGCTAAACAGGGCAAACTGAGGAAGCGGTGTCCTGCTAGCCCTGTAGTGTTCGTCTCACCTCAGTCAGGTCTCAGAAGAGCTTGTCAAACTATGTTCTAAAATGTCCCTGAAACTACCAGGTTATGACAGCATCTCCGTGTCGGACAGGGACTGCCCTGCCTTGCAAGGAAAAGCTAATGTGGAGCCAGTCACACACAGCCTCATCTGCCGGTTCCTCGAGGCACAGGCCTGTTTTTAATCACTGGGGCCTGCAGCTGAGACTGAACTTGGCAGCGCTTCACTCCATTTGATGATCCCGCTGGAAGACATTAAAGTCTTTTTCTTCATTCAGAAGAAGGGGAGCCAGTGCCATCTAGTCACACTCCAGACAGAATTAGGCTGGAAATAAAGCCAAAAGATTGCTAGCAACCTAAGGGTTAACTTTCCTTGTCATACCCTTATCTATAGTTAGGCCCTTTTGTTTGGTTTCAAAGCAGAAAAAAACTCCAGCATGCCTGGAACCACATCCTTAATCTCAGAAAGATTCAAGAGATACAAAAAAAATGGGCTAGCAGAGCTACAGAATTTCTTTCCTCCACTCCAACAAGCTGCCTCTGTTCTTTAAAGATTTAGGTGACTCTTTGTGGAAAAAGCGAGCCAGGAATGATGTACTGACTAAGACACAGACAGGCTTTCTGTCCTGGCCTGAATAGCTCACCCACCAGCTCCAGGCATACAAAGCCTATACATTCAGCTATGCTGTCCAGACATGCAGTGGGCAGGAAAATATATGCTCTCTGCTACATTTTTCCTCTTCAGAGCTCTGATTTCAACCAAAATAAACTAAAGACAGAGATAAAGTCAGTTTTTGAGTAGATTTTTTTCATGGGGAGGACTGAGGACTCCGTATGTGCTTAAAGGGGGAAAAGTCCAGACACACCTACGTCAGCTGTATGTACAGCTTATTACACACACGTTAAAAGATGTGTGGGAAGATAATCAGGCTTACACCTGGATGCTGCTGTACAACAGAACATACACCCGCGCACGCATGTGGTGCCTCACAGACAGGCAGTTTACGGATATAAAGATTGTGTACGTGCTCACCTGCACAGGTAAGTGCCTGCTTTAACCTTCCCACTTTCATTCTTACTTTCCCATTTATCTGTCCCTCTCACACATGAAAGCACTGGGCAGGTATTCAGATCATGGGCAGATATTCGGAAATGCATTTGCTTCTACAGCACAAAACACATACAAACCTATAACTTGTTTCCCCTCCCCTAGCCCACCCAAGCACACACTATGTGAATTACTGCAGCAGCAACAGAAAAAAGAATCGCATGGTAGGAGCCATATGTACCTAAGGAAAAGATAGTCCT